TGCCACACCCTCCGTGCTCCGACCCTGGGCACCCTCGAACTCGTGCGGCTCGACCCCGCTGCGCGCCCGCGCTCGCGTGTCGCTGTCGGCAGTCGCGAGTCGGGTGTCGCGCGAGAGAGACGAGAGTCGCGCTCGGGCTCGCGGCTGCGGGCCGCTGCGGGCTGCCGGCTCGCGCCGCGGCCCCCCCGCGCGGGCCGCGCGGCCCGCGGCCGCGCGCCCGGCGGCGAGCCGGCGAGAAACTGGGCGGAGACCCGGAGAGCGGGGACTTGCCACTTCATCGATGAAGAGTGGCAAGTACACGCAAGCACGCCCCGTGCGGGGGTCCGCCCTCCCCCGGTCCTGCGTACGAAACCGCGACTCTCGAGCGACTGAGTGCGCCCCCGTAGGCGAGTTCCATTTCACTGTGGCAAAACTTCTCGCGTTACAAAAACCTTGATGTGACCATTTGCGCACCTGGTTCGCTGTCGTACATGGCAAACACTGCGTCGGCGAGATCTGCGAAAGCTCTACCAAGCACCTTTGGCGGCGTCAGCGACTTCAAGCAGCTTCGACGCCTGCTCTACACGGCTGACCAGCGGCGGTTCCACCGCACCATCTTTTTCGCGGCCGCCGCGTCGGGCGACCTCCAGATTCTGCACGAGCGCCTGCGCGCTGGCTCGCCACGCGTGGACACCCGCGGCAACTACGGCCGCACAGCGCTCTGGCTCGCGTGCGAGCGGGGGCACATCGACTGCGTGCGCGCGCTCCTCGCGGCGGGAGCTTCCGTCGAGCTGGGCGAGTCGGGTATGGACAACAATCGGCCGCTGCACGTCGCAATCCTCAACGGCCACGCGCTAATTGCCTTTTTGCTGCTCGAGGTGCGGGCGCAAACGGCCGACAGCCGGCGTGGCCCCCCTTGCCGGGAGCCCTTCTCCGACCCTATCTTAGGCGGGCGCCAATCCAAAAGCCGAGAACTGGTACGGCCGCACACCCTTCGAGATGAGCTTCTGCCGCCGCGGCCTGGCCGACCTCCCGCTGCGCGAGGCTCGCACCGCCGCCTCCCAGCCCTCCTCGCCTCCCAGCCCTCTCCTCCTCCGCCCCTCGCCTCTGCCCGCCGCCTCCGCCCGCCGCCTCCGCCCGGTTGAGAATGGTCTTAAGAACGAGTGGTTTCCGGCGTGCAGGCAATGCAAGAGCTGCTCACCGCGGCGGGGGGCGGCCGCATCGCACTCGGCTTCCCGCTCCTGCAAGGCGTGGCGCCCTCCTCGCCCACCGACGCGGTGGCGATGGAGGCGGTCTCGGTGGGGGCGGCGGCAGAGTCGGCGGAGGCGGCGGCGGCAGAGGAGGCGGCGCCGGAGGAGGCGGCGGCTGAGGCGGTGGCTGAGGCGGCGGCGGGGAGCGGCGGCGATGCGGCCGGCGAGGGCTGCGCCGGCGAGGGCGATCCCGTGTCGCAGGACAGCGAGCAGACGCTGCTGATGACGGCTCCTCCCAACACGCGGCCTCGCCTTCTCGGAGCCTTCTCGGAACTGTCTCTCGGAGCCTTCCTGCAGGCGCCGCCCAACGCGCGGCCGGGGGAGCGGCTGCTGGTCGCGTACAAGGACGGAGGCGCTAGATGCGGCGTGCACAACTCGACCCCTGTCCTCGGAGCTAGTCGAGATGTACGCGAGCTAGTCGCGAGGGCACGCACCCCCGCCGGCCTCCAGCCCTTCATTCGGCGGGAACCACTCGATGC